CAGAATTCAGGTTTCGAAGATTTTCTCATTGAAGCTTTGAATCCACTCTCTTTTGCCCTTTTGATCGATACCCACAAAATAAAAATTGAAATTGTAAAGTGGGTCGATTCTCTTTTTTCTTTTTCTTGAAATTTTGAAGTTTTGCCCTTAATTAGTTGTTTGAGGGTTAGGGTTAGGGTTTTTGATAGTGGGTGTTTCCTGTCTTGGTGGAATTTTCTAGGGTTTTTGTTAGATCGCAACTGGGTACTGCTCCAATTCTGCAGTTTTGGACTAATTAGGGTTTGTCCAGTGCAAGGAACTGGGTAGTATTGGGATCATCGCGGCCCCGCATCAAATGACCATAAGTTCCCATCTTTCGGGGAATGGAATTGTGCATTGGGCAGTGCCGGGGTGAGTACATGAACTCTGAGATTGCATAGAATTATGGAAAGCACTGTTTTTCTGAGCATGGAAGAAGATTGCACATATTGAATTCGGTGCAGGAGTGATCAGAGACTTGCCAAATCGGTGTTTTGGCGCAAAAGGGTATCTGTGTTTTCACTGCTTTTACATGCTTGATCTTCAGCTGCGAATGAATTTGGTTTTAGGATTTGGTAATGAGGACGAGCTGATGATACTGTATTGGCCCATAAGGCGACATAGAGGATTAGATTGTAGTGGACTGTTTTCGTTTCTCAAGAAACTGTTCGGGTTAACTTAGTTTGAACAAAATTCTTAGAAAAGCTTCTCCAGTAGTTAGTCCATTTGGTTTTTTTGTTGGATTTTCGTTCAGATTTGTGTTCAGTTGTTTACATTGAGGTGGTGCTTGTGTTGAGCCTTGATTTTTCAAGTAAGTTTGGTGTGATATCTGATTTACCTGCCTGCACATCTGTGTAGAAAGGATTAAAGGATTGGTTGAAGTGACTGAGAAGCTAATAGCAGATTTTTTGTGCTGGGAATGAATGCGGGGACATGGTGCATGGACAGGAGCATAGTTGCTGGATCGTTCCCTTTCTGGAACAGTGTTACTGGAAACTAATTCAGGAGTTTTCTTCTTTGGAAGATACTGGTTTTTGGTACTGTCAGGCTTTATGCAATGTCGCGCTGCTTTCCATTTCCTCCACCCGGATATGAAAAAAAGGCTAGGGCAGATGATGTGGACTTGCTGAAAAAGGTTAAAATTCTCTCCTTTTATTTTTTTATTAATATCTTTTAATTCGTATAGCATTCATTATGGACATGATTTATCGAAAAGATAAAAAAGGTTAAATGAAATAATCATTCGTTAGGCACATACAAGTGAATATGATTACTTCCTGCAGTTAAACTAGTATGGCTTACTTATCGATATGCAAAGTTTCTGTCTGTCATGCCTGAAAATTGTCGATTAAAATAATGCTGTGGTTTAGGAACACATAAAATTTGTAAATATGGAGTAAGTAAAGATATAGGTGCCAGTTAGAGTCCAGTAATTGCTGGGAAAAACTGGTCATTTTGTCCTAATTTGTAATAAATTACATTTGTGTTGAAGTGAAAATTTATTGGATTAACAACTACTTGTTCAGTTTGTTGGAGTGTGAAAATGAGGAGCTAATTGAGAAACATAAAATGTTTTCCACTAATTACCGACTATTAGGTTGATGTGTTTACTCCCATTCATGTTCGAGTCCTGCTCTTACCAAGGATTTATGGTACCCACCTTTGGATTTGATATCGGGGACAGAGAATAGATGGTGGCGGTTTTCATGGTTTATTCTCAACCTTCAATATCAAATCGAAGGGTTAGTGTCCATCCATTCCTTGGTCACCTGGTGACCAGGAGAACATTTTCTATTCATGTTCAATGGGGTCATGTTGAATCAGCAATAGTTTACATTTTCTATTCATGTTTGATGCATAAACTGAAGTTATCCTGAACAATGCCGATGGGTCTCGCTTAGTTTTACGATTCCAATACAAATCACCATCTAGTCAAACAGACCCTCAAGTCATATTCGTCCAGTCCCCGATTTCATCTTATAGGCCTGAATTATTTCTCAAAGTGGAGCCAATACTTGTGACATTATTCAAAGGAGGCCTAGTCTTGCCCAGCATTGATGCATCATGTGCAAAAAGAACCTGAAAGTATAGATCATCTATTCCTGGTCATATGATTATATTAAAACTTGGCACACAAACTGTTTTCGAGAGCTAGTGTGAATTTGGTGATATCACAATTATGCATTTGTTTTTGAGAAGTAATAGGGTTCTGAAAATATTAGGGGAAGGAATCTGAATGAAGCTGAAATGGAGGAATTTCTCTCTTTGTTGCCTTTTATTGAGTATTAGTAGGGGCAAGAAGGCCAGAGTTATATTGAGATGTTTGGTTCTTGCTTTGATTTGTGTGATCTGGACGGAAAGAAATAAGGGCTTTTGAAAGCTATGGTGGAGTGGGGGCTGAGGAGCTATGGAATAAGGTCCAGTTTTGGTCTGCTCTGGGAGTCTGTCTGATGAATTTAGACTTATTCCTTTCTCTACTAATTTGATGGGAAGTCCATGGTGTAGGCCTGTTAATTTTTCAGATCTTAGGAGGGGTTTGTCTCCCTCATGCGTTTCTGTTTTCCTTTAGTGGCCTCTTGACCACTTTTTCATTTGTTGTTTTATTGTCTTTGTTGCAACAAAGTTTTTTTTTTTTATAGGCAAAAAAGAAAAATTTAGGGTGAGGAAATGGAGAGGTTCTTGGATAGAATTTGTTTTGGGCCTCAGTAGGCTCAAATTTCCTGGATTTTTTGGAAGAATGTTTTTTGTCCTTATTCATGTGGGGTGTTCACAAATATTTTAATTTCTCTCTCCCTCTCTCTCTCTCTCTCTCTCTAGCTTAGATTTTTCACTATAATGTTACCATTGGACGTTTTCTGTATTCTGTTATGTGGCTGGTCGGTAGGGGTTTTTATGCATTCTGCTGGACAGCTTGACACTATATTTTCTACTTAGATCCTGAGCAGCAGCAACAACAACAACAACAAAGCCTTTTCCCACTAAGTGGGGTCGGCTATATGAATCCTAGAACGCCATTGCGCTCGGTTTTGTGTCATGTCCTCCGTTAGATCCAAGTACTCTAAGTCTTTTCTTAGGGTCTCTTCTAAAGTTTTCCTAGATCTTCCTCTACCCCTTCAGCCCTGAACCTCTATCCCGTAGTCACATCTTCGAACCGGAGCGTCAGTAAGCCTTCTTTGCACATGTCCAAACCCATTTTGTGTACATGTTGATGCTTCACTGCCCAACATTCTGTGTCATACAGCATCGCCGGCCTTATTGCCGTCCTATAAAATTTTCCCTTGAGCTTTAGTGGCCTACGACGGTCACACAACACGCCGGATGCACTCTTCCACTTCATCCATCCAGCTTGTATTCTATGGTTGAGATCTCCATCTAATTCTCCATTCTTTTGCAAGATAGATCCTAGGTAGCGAAAACGGTCGCTCTTTGGTATTTCCTAATCTCCGATCCTCACCCCTAACTCATTTTGGCCTCCATTTGCATTGAACTTGCACTCCATATATTCTGTCTTTGATCGGCTTAGGCGAAGACCTTTAGATTCCAACACTTCTCTCCAAAGGTTAAGCTTCGCATTTACCCCTCCTGAGTTTCATCTATCAACACTATATCGTTTGCGAAAAGCATACACCAAGGAATATCATCTTGAATATGTCCTGTTAACTCATTCATTACCAACGCAAAAAGGTAAGGACTTAAGGATTGTTGATGCACAAAATCAGTGAGGACTTTGGTACAACAGAAAGTATTAAGTTTGTGATATTCGCTAGATTGTTCTGGTCATTAGTGTGGATAAGTATGTAAATGGATAGAGACAGGAAAGCAAACACAAGATGCACGTGGTTCACCCAGATTGGCTACGTCCACGGAGTAGAGGAGTTCTCATTAATTGTGAAGGGTTTACACAAATACATAGGTTCAAGCTCTCCTTTAGTGAGTACAAGTGAATGATTTAGTACAAATGACATAGGTTCAAGCTCGTCTTCACTTGCCTTATCTGTCTCATAGGTAGATGTGGCATTTTCTCTGGAAGTACTCTTCTTCCATCCAGGGGTGATATCTTTAACTGGTGGAGATGCACAAGGTAATGTATCAATTTCACTTGAAGCTTACTTGTAGTTTCAGGCTTGGTCAAGCGCGATACAAACCATGTAGTAGGAGTCCCCCAAGTCGCCAAGCTAGGGGATTTGCTCTGAAAGAGGCAACAGACAAGGTAAGCAATCAGAGCTCCAAGCAATCAGTCCCAGATCAGAAGTTTGATTTCGAGTTCCGGCTGATTGTTCTCATTCTCCTTATCTTGCAGGCAGCATGAAGCATAAAGAGAAGAAAAGGAGAATAGATGATATGAGATACTTTTGCTTTTGAAGAAGTAACTTTCCACAGGCTTATTCTTGAACTGGGCTGGAGGATTTTCTGGTTTCCTCCAGAGTATAAGGCCGACTGAAGAATTTGAGGGTCAAAACAAGTCCATCAAATCTAGAGAACGTTCGACCCTGCTGATATGGGATACTTTTGTTGTTGACAAAGTAGTGGATGTATCGGCACGTGTTCTGTTAAGCTTGTCTCCACATGCTTCCTTGTATCCTTCTCACTTTCCCTATCTGTTCCTCAGGCAGATGTGGTATCTTCTCTGGAAGCATAAGATGTTGAATATGAGTACTCGAGAGCAATGCCAGGTAAGTAATCAGGTAAGGGGTTCCAGGCAGTCAGTTCCTGACTAGAAGCTTGATTCCAAGTGCTGACTGATTGTTCTCTTTCTCCTTGTCTTTCCATTTCTCTTAAAAGTAGAACCAAGGAGAGAAAACAAGAACATGAAAAAACTGTCCCAAGAATGTGCTCCACAAAGAACTCTAGGATATGTCACATATGTGTTTTGATGTCGGCGTTTGTTTTCTATTTGAGTTTGTATTTTTCTAAGATTGAATACCACTTTTTGGCATAAAACAATAATTCTCCCAATTGTTTGGTTAGCACAATCTTCTGGTGCAGAAATTTGTATGTCCTCTTAGGGGGTGTTTGTTTGCCCTCACTAACTGTCACTAGACTAGACTGGACTAACTATTAGTCCAGTCCAGTGTTTGTTATCATCCGGGACTAGTGTTAATGAAACTAGCCCAGACTCGCCTACACTAGAGGCTTCACTAAAGGTTCTTAGCGAGAGGCCCTGGAAACCATGGGACTAGCTAAGACCTCTCCCTGCTCTCTGTTTCACTCTCTTTCCTCTCTCCTCATCCTGAACTCAAACCCAAAATCAGGCAGATTTGTCACTCACTGCACCGCGCATCTCGTGTTTATCATCGATCTTGCAGTCGAGAGGCAACAATTCTCCTCTGCTTAGATCCTTGGCTTGCTCGACTGCACCTTCATCCACCACGACACCGTCGCCACATTCCATGACGCCCCACCAAAACACAGATACGAATCTGCCAAAACCCAAAAAACAAAAATCAATTACAAAACCCATATTATATTCTTCAAAAATGCTTGAGTTGTGAAAAGGGTGGAGTTTGATGATAATAGTGAAAAGGAATGGAGATTGATGGTCTGCAATTTCAACATCCAAAAGATGGCTTTTTCTGATAATAGTGAAAATGAATGGAGTTTGACGATGAAGGGGAAAGTAGAGTGAGAGGGAGTTGGAGGGGCAGGAGAAAAGATGGAGAGCTTTCGGGACTGGGAGAGTTTTCTAGAAAAGGGGAAAAAAAATAAAAAAAATGTAAAAGATAAGATTTAATTATTATTTTAGTTATTTAGTCGGATAGTGCACCAAATGCTTCACTAATTTAGTCCAGCTTAGTCTAGTCTAAGCCAATCCAACTTAGTCCCTGCAACTAGTCCAATCCGAGACAGTCCGGTGCAATAAACACACCCTTAAAGCCTTGGCAGAGATGGGGAGAATGATTGTTGACAGAATTTTAGAGTACAAATTGGCAACTGTACAATTTGAAATTAGCAGACACAGAGTTAAAACATGTAGGATGCTAATTGGGTCTGGCTATAATTACTTTGAATTGTTGCCTTTTTCTTGTTGCTCTTCCTGAGTTGCGTTCTTTGAGATTATCGTGCCAACTTAAGCCTTTTGCAACTTTGATATTTAGATTGAGGGTCACTGTTTAACATTATGCTAGCCTGCCATTGCTGGTGGCCATTACTGTTGGGTTCCGTGATTTTCTTTTAAACCAAAACTTGGAATGATCTGTAATTTTTTTTAGGGGTGTGATATCCACACACCCCGTTTTACTGCTTCCACACCTTTTTAGTTTTCAGCTGTCGGATCAGATGAATTGAAGAAGATCAATGGACAGAAATTAACAAGGGGTGTGTGAGAAGTAAAAATGGGTGTGTGGATAGCACACCCCTTTTTTTTATTCTTCTGTACTTTGTGAATTGCGGCCTTTATCATGTTGTACAGTCTTCCTTTCTTTTCTGTTTTCTCATTCCCTATTTACTTGTCTTGATTTCTTCATCCTCCTTTCTTTGTCCCCCCCTGGAGTTTGCCTTCTTTAGTAACCATATATATTGTTCATCCTATCTTGTATAATTTGTATCCCTGGTAAATTGCTCTAAATTCTAGTTGCTGCTTGTTGTTATCATATGAAGTATATGTTAACTTGCTGTATAACGTTTAACTGGTTGATGATTGCCTCTGTTTTCTTTTATTTCATATTCAGAGGATAAGGTGTTAGAAACCTTGTCACTGGAGTTTCCTTTAGATCCGATTACCACCTTTTTTTTTTTTTCCTTTGAAGTTCCTTTCTTTGGAATGGCTCACACCACATCCCCGTTCCTACTCACCCGAGTTCAATTGGGACGTTGGAACGGGGACGTGTTATGATGGTCCACTAAACTGGGAAAACCTAAGAAACTGGGTTTCTTCTTCATTATATTGATCCATAACTGCTTCATATGAAGAGTAAAGAAAGTTAAATATCTAGCACAAGTTAATCCTAAATTAATGTTCAATAGACATTGCAATTGGTGCCTGTGTTTTATGTGTGCATTTGACAGCGGTGACTTTTAGGTGTTATGTGATTTTGTAGGAGTTTTTGTTTTAAGATTTTTTTTTCCGGAAGCGGATTCTGATGAATCACAATAAAATGTTTTCCTTAAAGCAAAGTCCTTATTGGTTGGTTTGTCTATAAGTGGAAAAAGGTAGAAAACAGAAGATGAAGAGCGGCTCTGTGATTGGAGAGTGAAAAAAAAAAGAGTATAGGTATATACTCAAAGTAAATGAGAAAAGACGAAAATGAGAAAGGTGTACGGAAACAGAACAGTTTTTTGGATCGTCGGATGAGCTAGACATTTTCCTTTTATCAATGCTTTTCTCTTGCCTTTACTGGTTTCTTTGAAATTTTGGTTTTTAATTACTCTTTTTTTGTGCTAAATAGTTTTTCCACATAAAGTACAGCAAATTGACCAATAATCTTCCTTATGCTTTTATACCCTTCTTTTGGTGATTCTATAGTTCTGACAGCCAATGTCTGATCATTATCATTTTCTGCTCCTGGTTCACCATTGAAGGGAACTGTTATAAGAATATAAACCTTGTTTTAGAACTTGAAATAAAAAGATATTGCATTACTCACCAAGTGGCCTAACAAGCATTTTGTTTGTCATGATATTTGTTTGGCTCGTGGCCTTCAAAACTGACAGTGTTAGGGAGTTTAAGAACGAGAATTGAAGTCAGGTGGTTTTTGACCATTTTTAAGCTAGAAATTTTTGCATGCGACTTTGAAGGAGATATCCCAAGGTTTGGTGTATTTTTGCTTGAGAATTTTGTTTGTCCTTTTTTTAGGCGTACTTATTGAAGAGGAGGCTTTTGAAAGTCCGAAGGCAGCTGCTAGCTTTTGAAGTTTCTGATCAGGAGTTTCAGGCAAAGAGACAAATCACTATTAATGTTGTTGATGACAAATGGAGTTTTACATTAAATTAGCATGGCATTACTCCCACATTGTAGTGTGGAGGTGTTGAATGCATATTAAATGAACTTTAATCTCTCAAGTTGATTAGCTCTGGCTCCTCTCAGTGTTTGATAATTTGATACTAGTTTAATAGCTATGTTGACCGGTTGAATGCGTTGGGAAGATTTCGCTTTCCATATTTTTAGAATATACGGAGCTCTTTCCCTTCTGGTATTCGCTCTTTAGGGTTCAGTTTGCATACTTCCTTGGGCTTGCTTGTAACTCCTTTTTCTTTCTATTGTGTGTTATTTAAATACAGTTTTACTTATAGTGATAAATTACCACTGCAAAATGCTTGCATTAAATTTAGGGTTAGAAAAGGCACGGATCTTTATTTTTTGTTTGTTGATGAAAGGCAAAGTTCTTTATAATAATAAATCAATGCCGAAAGGCAGTTGATAGTGTAACTAGAAGTCTTTGGATTGCTGGTTCTTTTTATATGGTAGGATAGGATATGATTGATGACTGGGAGACTGGGGAGTATGGATAATTGTAAACTATATTCTGTTGTTGACACTGCGTAGGAAGCTGGCTATGAACCAAAGAAGTTTCCGTGCCATTGCACCTCCTTTATCTTGGTGATAATGGTTTTTTTGATGATCAGTCTTTTATTATTGGTTTGTAATTGTATTTAAAATGTTCTAATTTCTTTCTTGGTTGTTTTTCCTGTTTTGCTCGTCTTGAACTTTGGTTTTGGGGTGGATTGCCTTTGGTTTGTATTTAAAATGTTCTAATTTTCTTTCTTGGTTGTTTTTCCTGTTTGGTGGTCTTGAACTTTGGTTTTGGGGTGGATTGCCTTTGTATGTCTTATTTCTGCACCATCTTGCTTTTTTCTTCTCCTTCTATTTAAATGTTGAAATTTTGTTTGTGATGAAACAATCTTATTGTGGTTCTCACGTTGCAATGATTTAGTGGGTCGTGGTTCTTGGCATGGTACAATTTTGTGCTTCCAATGCACTAGAGTGACACTGCTTTGTACCATTCAAAAACTATGTATTTGACTATTTGAAAACTGCGAACATTTGTTATCCTTTCTTCATTTCTGGTTTTTGGGATCTTTTGAAAAGGAATGTAAGGATCTTTACGGGTATGGGGTACCTTTGGAAGGTGGACATGTCAGTTGACGTCAGGTTTAGTTATGGTTCATTTTTGTAGCATTTCTTGTAAGCAAGTCCTTATTATCTATTAAATCTTTTATAAACTAACTTGGAACACAGTTCTCCCTAGTAATACTAATAGTCGTATGTTTTATGATTCTTGATCATATATCTTCTTACCTTTTATCTTTTATAACTGTTCAATAATTACAGGAGAAGCACAGAGAAAAGAAGCATAAGAAGGAAAAGAAGGACAAAGAGAAGAGACAGAGTAAAGAAAAAAGTGATGGAAAGCATCGGGAAAAGAAAGACAAGAAGGAAAAAAAGAGAGACAAATGGAAGGATAAGGAGAAAGACAAGGACCTGGTTAAAGACAAAATTAGTACCTCAGATGAGAAGAGAGTTCCAGGAAAAAACAAGGGTCATGGTGAAGAGAGATACATTCAGAAAGAGTACAAGGGCAACTGTATTGACAAGAGAATTACGGGAAAAATTGGAGGTTATCAGGCAGAGAAACTCGGTCAGTACCGTTATCTGGCTGAGCAAAACCAGAATTCTGTATCGGTGGAGTTGGGTACAAGGAGTAAACATGAGGCCAGGGCAATTGGTAACCATCTGGTTGAGAAGATTACTGAATTAGACGGAAACAAGGATGAGGGGATGGTTGGATTGCTGACCAAGGGTACTGACATTTTGGCCAAAGTTAAGGAAAAGAACAAGGATAGGAGAGTTGATGACAGAAGGACAGATGGGCAAGGAGTCAGGGGGGCAGCACAGGTTAGTGGGAACACGATGGTTCAGAACCTTCTTGGTGTGGTTGAACCTAAAGTTGGACTTTCCAGACCATTGGCGAGCAACGTGGATAGAAAGATTGTTGGAAAAGAAAAGACCAAAGAGAAGGAAGGTGGTGACAAATGCAAGGACAAACATAGAGAGAAGAAAAAACAAGGGATAGACAAGGACAAAGATAAAGAGAAGAAAAATGAAGCGAAAGCAAAGGAGAAAATTGAATCTAAGAAAGGAGAGTCATATAAAGAGAAGAAAAAGGAAGAGAAAGCAAAGGAGAAAAATGAAACTAAGAATGCAGAGCCAGATAAATTAAGAAAGAGCAATAAAGAGGATCACATAGATTCCCATAGTGTTATAACCTCCCAGCTTCCAGAGGACAGCAACAAAACTGCTGGTGCTGATGGAAATCTTAAGAAACGAAAGGACATACAGATGAATGGAGTTGTGCATGGTGAGCTCTTTTTTATGACGTTAAGTATCATAGTTGCAGCCCAATCATGCTATGTAGTTGTCAAACACAAGTTGGCCTCTTTTTGCCTGCAACTGAGGGAGGTTGTAGGTCCACTTTGCTATCCTTTCTTTCCTTTGATTCAGAATAATAATGTTTTTCAGTTTGGTATCAGTCGATTGGCAGTGTTATTGAATCAATTTTGTCTAGCAGGTTCAAACTTTGGTAATTTTTATTCTTAGTTGACTATTGATGCTTCCCTTTCTCATCTTACAGCCGATGATATTAGGCCCAGTAAACTGTCGACCACCTTCTTCCTCTCATCAATTGCCAGTAAATGGAAGAACACTGGAACCTTGCCAAAATTCCATCCCATATGTGTCAGATAGGCTGGGTGCAGCAAATAACATTAAGGTGGACGTTAAGGACTTCAAGATAAATGGTAGTGGTGAAGCTCCGTCATTGGCCATCTCCACTACAAAGCCGACATCTACAGCTACACAGGCTGTGCCTATTGCTGAAGCATGCATGAAACCACCCCATCCGGATTCCAGATATCTAAGCCATGTGTATTTGGTTCCGAAATTGGATGAAATGCCTGATCATGACGACCAAGATTGGTTGTTTGGGTGCAGTGATGCCCAATTAAAGAAACCCAAGGTGGAATCTTCAAGGGTTGAGGAGACACCTAAGGTATGGTCAGAGGTCCTGCGGGTAGAGTCAGCTGATGTGCATGCTCTGCCGTATGTCATTCCATATTGAACAACTCAAATGGGCATGTTTCAACTCATAACTCTGGTGCGGGCAAACCCTTGATAGGACCACACGAGGGTGAAGCTAGAAAGGCGTCTGGGCACCTTGGATTGTTTTGAGTTTTTTAGCTGCATTCATATGTGATAGCACTGTTGCAGTGATCATGACTCAACACGTCTCAAACACAAATGTCACTCAAACGCCACCGGACACACTCAACACGTCAGGACATGCTCCGGGACCGGGCCAGCTATTTGGGTTCCAGGGGTGGTTCCCCAACAGTTAATTCATTGAACACGGAGAGTTTCATAACGCGACCAAGTGAAGGGGGTTTGCGTAGAAAGGGAGATAGATATATATATATAAGGCTTGTGCATTTTTTGTTGTGATTTGGTTGGGAGCTGATAAGCCCACTCTAACTGTGCGTTTAAGAGAAAACTAGATGTGGTATATTTGCAACTCCGCCACAATTTTGATTTGTAACATAGAACAGCTCCTATTTACATGAAATATCAGATAGAAGAAGAGTTTACAAGTAGAATTAGTTTCAAAGTTGGTGCACTTGAAATGTAGTAGACTACAGGGCGATAATTTCTACTCATGGTTCATTGTGGCCGATTCACATAATTTTGTACCTATGATTGAAACCGATCATATAATCAATCACTTTGTAAAAAAAAAAAATTAATAATATGAGATTGTTTAGTCTTCTAACTATATGACAATTGATTGGGACTACAATGACTCATAATATGATCTTTACAAAGTGATTTATAATATGAACAATTTTGATCATAAGAACGAAATTCTCTGAACTGGGCACGAAGAATTTGAGGAGGAATTCAACGAAGAATTTAAATACTACAATAATATGATCTTTACAAAGTAATTTATAATATGAACAGTTTTGATTATATACACGAAATTATGGGAATTGAGCACGAACAATTTGAGTAGGAATTCCAAGAAGAATTTAAAGAATACAAAATTATTGAAGGGCAGCACAAACGTTTCTTATGAATCAAATTATAAAGTTCTGAAATTTCCCAAATTAATTTTCAATTTTTAACACAACGATATATTTACACCAAAGGTGTCACTGCCCGTCCCAAATTATTTTTGTCATTAGTGTGAAATGTCTAAAGTACCCTTGAACGTTTGTGGTGTTGTGTGGTTTAGGTTTTGGTTGTGGACCTATATGTTAAGTTCCTAAGTTTTTGGACCCAACTAGAACTAAATTTTCCCTAGTTTTGGTTGGTGACAAACTGGACCACACACTCACACACACACCCTTACCCGTTGACCTCTCTCTCTTATCCCTCTCTCGGATTTTCTTACCATTTTCGTACAACCTATACGGACAACCCTCAAAACCCTTTCAACTTCACGGATCGAGGTTGTGATTGCTGTTTTTGGACTCCTTGCAAGCTCAGGAGTCGAATGGTGGTGGTGGTTGGACGTGAAAACTTCGAAAACCCAAGAACTCAGAATCTCATATTTTGAGTACTATTCATGCAGTCGTGATCGTGGAATTTTCAGCAAATTTTAAGGTTCTAGGAAGCTTTAGGACGTCTTCATGAAGCTCGAGGAAGAAAGTTGGAGTGTTTTGGACGTCAGGAAGTCCCAGTTTGTGAGTTTCAAGTTTTGGCCGAATTATCAAGGTTTCTGCGTCGAGATCCCGTGGATTTTAGGGCTTAAAATTGGTAAGGTTTTGTTCTACTCGTCACAAGCTTCATTTTGGTACAAATTTCATGAATTTTGGTTGAGAAATGAAGAAGATATTGAAGTTCTAAGATTTTCCAGTTTCCGACGATCGCAGAGGCACCGGCGCCGGACTCCAGCGAACTAAGGAAGAAGGAGGAGAATATTCCATCAAAGTTGATGAAATATTCTAACGTCGTCAGGTATAATTAACGGCATATTCTAGTTTTTAACGGAATATTCCCTAATGGCGTTAACTATTATGTCCCCTGTACCAGGCACGTGCTTGCACATGAGCCGCGCATCTAGCCGTGCCTTGGCTAGTGCGTGAGGGCACGTGGGGTCATGAAATTTTTTTCTAAAAATATAGGGATGTTCCTGAGGTTGAGTAGGTCATGGTGGTATATTCAAATACCACATTTGAGCAATGTATGAGAAGTTATTTCCTAGTTTTGTGTATGTGCTTTAAATAACGTTTATTCAGTTATTTCACATATGGTTGAGACCTATCCTGAGGACGAGCGCCATCAATCGAGGCTCGCAGGCTACAACCCTTCGACATATCAGTGAGTAGGCTTTTGGTTTTCCGTATATACCTATATACTTGAGATTTTTTCCAGAAAATGAATTTGAATGACTATACGTTTTGAAATGCCATGCAAAGTATCTGCCTATTTTATTTATGCATTAGTAGTTGCATATATTTAAGATGGGTGCTGCGGACTCGTAGGTTAGTGCCAAGTAAGTTCATAAATTAAAGATATGAGATTGCTTTAGTTATGCGAGATATGATGTGATGTGATGTATTGAGAGCTTATAAACCTGCACCCCGGTGTTAGTGCTCCCGCCTAGAGTTAGGACACGGTCCTTCACGTGATGTTCACCTCCCGCACCATATGCTCACCTTGGATCCAAGTTAAGTGCACAGGCTTGTCATACAGCCCACTTTAGGTGATTCCGACTTGTAGATCACCCGCGATCATTCGCACAGTCTTCATGTGATCGCAGCACTAGATCATATTTATTTTACACCTAGTCCTGTCGTACAAACACTTTAAGTGGTTTCGACTCGTGTGCAGAATTTGATATGATTGAGATTGGTTATGAGCTATAGACTCAGTCGTGCAGGTCACATAAGTGGATTTGGCTGATATAATATCTGGCATTGATACATTTTAATTGGATTATTTATAGCATTTCATTGAGATACTTTGGTATGGTATATTTCTATAGATTTTCATCCTGAGCGTGATTTCTGATATAGCATATATTATATTTTCTGGGAAATTATACAGGTTTTACGGCGAGGGGTTAGAACTTTTGAGAAATGAAATGATTTCGAAAAGCTTTGTTTTTGCCCACTCACACTTTCTATTTTGCGCCCCTTCAGGTTTTAGGTAGAAATGCTTTGGTGGCTCACGGGGATTTCGACGGTGGTTCTGACAAAACACCATAAATGTAGGATCACCTTTAAGTGTTGTATAATTAGTACTTGTCATGCTTGACTGCACTTTGGCTATTTATGCTCTGATTGTGTATTTCACACTTAATCTCGCACTTACACCTTATCTTATCTAGTACTCTAGTTGATTTGGTTTTTGTTTATTCGTAATTCCTTATGTCTCTATTGCTTCCACACTGTGCACATGGCTACATCACCCGCACGTGATGGCCAGCATGCCCTGATTTAGGTTGGGGTGTGTCAGTTTGGTACCAGAGCCTAGGTTTGCAGTCCTGCATATCTTGTGAAATTTCTAATTAATTTAATGTCTCCTGTCGGAACTATGCCGCCTCGTAGAGTTTCACGTCCTTCTGTTGAGCCTAGTTTCCCCGATATAGCTCAGTTAAGGGAAGCTATAGCTAATGCCATTCAATCTTCACTTCGTCCTCCCCAAAAGACACCTCTTGAGACTGTGTATAATCTGAAGCTGAATCATTTTATAGGGAATGAAGGACATGAAGGAGCGGAGAAATGGATCAATCATCTTGAGAAGACTTTTCGTGTAATGCAGAGTCAGGGGAATCTTCATCCTGATAGGTGGGTCAAGATGACTACCTGGTTTCTAGGTCCGGAACCTACATCCTGGTAGAGACAAGAGTCTTATCAGTTGTCACCAGAGGAAGCAGCTAATTGGGAAGTGTTTAAAAAGTTGTTTCAGAAAAGGTTTATTCCCCCTGAGTATATTGATAGCAAAAAGCAGGAGTTTATTCAATTAAAGCAGGGGAAGATGATGGCAAATGAGTATTATAGGAGATTCACTAACTTGTCTTGCTATCATCCGGAGGTTGCTGCTAATCCGGTTGAGATGCTCCTTCGTTTCAGGTTGGGTACTAAAAAGAAATGGCGTTCTATAGCAACCTCGACTCCCTATGCTACTTACCAGGAGTTTTATTAGATTTTGTTAAGGATTGAGGACTCAGAAAATATGCCCAATGAGAGTGACGATGAAGAAGAAAAGAATGGGAATCAGAGGCAAGATGATAAAGGTAAAGGTTAGTCTTCTCAAGGACCTCGCAAGACTCAGAGCTTTAAGAGGAGTGGAACTAGTTCCAGCTTTTCTAGCGGAGGTTTTAGTGCCACTGGTCAGAGGAGAGGTGGTAGATTTTTAAGAGGTCATAGATTCCAGAGGCAGGGAGATGCTGGAAGAAGAAGTGCTCCTTTGTGCCGCAGATATAAGAATAGCCATTTTGGGAAGTGTAGGAGAGGCAGCAATGGATGTTTTACTTGTGGGCAGATGGGACATAAAGCTATAAATTGTCCCTAGAGTCAGCAGAAGCCCCAGCAACCTTCTATGCCACCACCAGCACCGATCCAGCAAGTTCCATGGTTTGGTAGTTATGGTCAGATGGGTTGAGGTGGTGCTTACCATTATTAGGGTGATGCCACTCCTTATGCTTTAGGGTAGTATCAGTATTCGCAGGATCCTTATTACCATAGTAGGTATTCTAAATATCCTATAGGGTATACACTGTATCCTCCCATTCCAGCTAGTGGATCTCATTGGTACCAGGGAGGACAGCCCTAGTAGGTAGAGATTACTTCTAGTAGTGCAGGATCTTCAAGGCAATCTGGTCAGCCAAA